TCAGGAACAGCAACCAGAAGAAGTGACCAGCCTGTGGCTCCAGCCCCAGCCCAGAGGTGGGGGCAGCCACCACTGTATCCCACCACCAGCAACAACCTGGAGGCCACCTTCTTTGTGAGTTGTGCCCTCCTCTGGCCCTGCCTGTTGTCCCTGCTGGCAGGTATTTCACCGGTGAAAACAAGGTACACAGAGCAGATAAATAAACCCCTCCCAGGTAGGGCTCTGGGAAGGTAGCTCTGCTCCCTGTCCCACCAGGGGCACTGCCAGCTCCACACACAGGCTGCTCAGAAACCACCAGCTCTGCAGCTTGGCTGTTAGGGTGTCTCCAAGGTCTGGTCTGCAGCCCAGCCCAGCCACCTCCCAGGCCTGGCTGGTGTCACTCAGGCAAGCCCTGCACCCTGCCTTGGGTCACACACCCCAGACAACACGCTCCTTCCTCCTGCTCTCCACACCAACGTGGCAACCACTCTGGTAGGACTCTGGGCATCACAAACCAGTACCTGCAGTCACCTGTGTAACAATCAAATTAAGACACCTCTTGCCAAAAGTAAGACGTTTCTTATAGAAAAAGGCAAAAAATAAATAATTTAAATCACTATTTTGTCATTCATCTATTTCTGCATCTTGACATTCACCCTCAGTGTATGGACAAGAAAACACCAGAGTGCATTATCTCCTCACTCTTCAGCCTCTGAACTGCTTCACACAGTCTTCCTCCAGCTTCAAGAGACAAACAGCACCATTAATAGCACAACAACCCAACTTCCATGACTCCCTGAGGACAAATGAACCATCTTCCCCACAGCCAGGTCACAGCCCCCCAGCACAAACACCCCCCTTGGGTTTTCCAGTGCAGCACCCAGTGCTTGCTCATACCCCCCTGAGCCTGGCCAGGAGGTTGTCACCAGGTGGAGGCAGCACAGAAGGGAGGTCCCATGGTGCTGGTGATGACTTGGTAGAAAAGAAGCAGGTTAGCAAATGCTGCAGTGTCAGCTTTAGGCATGTGTCCCGCGTTTATTAACACAAGAGGTGTGGCTATGCAAACCAATCTCCACGGGCATGTCATCTCCAGTCATTACAGCTTAAGAGTGGTCTCAACTCCTCCAACTGCAACCACCACACATCCACACGGACTTCTGATGTTCCAGAAGAATTCACCTCCTTTCCCACACAGCTAACACTTGCATTGATTCATCAGTCTTGCTTCCTCCCACCATCAGCAGCATCCCACCTGAAAGATGAACTTTCATGCTCAAACTTTGCCATCGTTCCATTCAAAAGCCAATTTGCATCATGTGCTGGTTTCTCTCCAGCTTTGCCTGCTGACCACCTTTTCCTTTTTTCTTTGTCCCCCAAATTGTTCCAATTTTAAAAAGGTCTAGTCCTCTGGGTTTGGCGTGACAGCAAAAGTAGCAAGCAAGAGGACAGCAAACGTGACTAAAGAGCAAGCTCATTAATAATAAGCTACTCAGGAGACATTTTCCCAAGGCAAAGTCCATTCCAGGCAATGGAAATTCCTGGGCACCACGGCCCTAAGCAGCCTGGACCACTTGGGGCAGAACCCAGATGCCATGCTGTCCATCCAAGTGGTTTCCATGAATATTTTTTTTTAAAAGAGCATGAAAATAAACCTTTATTTCAGTTAACACCCACCAATATGAAAGATAAAGACGTTCACAGTTTTAGTTCTTGACACGAACGGACTGAAAGAGGCAAAGTTACATCTAGCAGAACAGCAGACAGACCAGGTGGAAGCACAAGCTGCCTTGAAAAATGATCTAAATGCAGAAGAAGGGAAAAATTCTGAGCAAGTCTGGTTAGCAGGGCAGTCGTCTGGGGCCCTGCTAGCCAGACTTGCTCAGAAGCTGGGGACAAAAAACAGAGCTGAGTGGCAAACCCAAAGAGCAAATACACAGTTTGGCCAAGGGCAGGAAGGTTTGTGTCACAGGGAAAGCTTTTTCTGCAGGTGTGTTTCTGCACACGGAGGCATTTCATTGTATTATCCAAGTTGTCTCCTAATGCTGGAACTGCAACACGTTCTACCAAAGCACAAAGGGAGAGGGAAGAGGAACAACTTGGTGCTAAGATCTGCTTGAAGAGTCAAGAGAAATGAACAAAGATTTTTTTACCATCCACTGTTTGAAAACTTGCCTCCTCACAGCCTGGAACTTTAAAACTATAGGTGAGTGCACTAAAAAGACAAATCCAATGATATTAACAGTGGTTTACAACAAAAACTTTTGTAGAAAATAGTTCAGGTAAAGCAAGCCAGCTAAACACCACAGTTAAGGAGTTTGATATTTCATATTCAAAGGTCTCCAATACTTTTTGCCTGTCCTGTACAGCTTTTAAAAAAATAGGGCATTACCTTTTGTTTTCTATCTACCTAGTTAAGAAACTACAAATATGTTATAAGCTGTCCAAAGTGTAAAACATTAAATTAAAATGAGGAACCTGTTTCTAGTCTGCTAACAAATGCTGCAGATAAAAACCCTAAGAAACCCTCTTTTTCAGTCATTCTCGCAACTCCTTTTGTGCACTGAAGTGGTAATCCTGGTCACAGGGATGAAATTAAACCTACAGCTAATTTCTAGGAGGGGTGGAAAGGGTTTCTTACAATGGTGCTCTGAAAAACATTCATTTGTCAGCTAGCAATCCCACCTCCAGCACTGCACAGATCCAGGGCAGAACTCTGAAGGGCAGAGAGGTTGTGTTGGGGGGTTAGGGTTTTTTATTGTATCTTTTTGTTGTATCAGGCAGATTGTGAGTCCCTGTGTGGAAGGGGAAAGCCAAGCTCCTTCCTCCCCCCTGGTCCTTCTTCAGAAGAGCTGCTGCTGCAGGAGCAGAGCTGTGGATGCTCCAGGGAATGATGGGCTCCCACCTCCCAGCTGGAGTCCAGGCAGACCCCTGGAGCAACCCCTACACCTCCTTCCCAGCTCCAACAGCAGGAAAGGTCACTCCAACCTGCAGGAAGCCTCTCCAACAAAAAACACAGTTAATTTAAGACTTTCTTTTTTCCATCTTGTTCTGTTGAAGGGAGAAGGAGGGAATAAAGGTAAAAAGGGTGAGTGAAGGGTGTAATACACTAATTTTAAAAATCTGTTGAGACCAATTATCCACAGGTCACTGCTGGATCAGTACACAGGTGTTTAACTACAAACCAGTGTGCTTTTCAGGTACCTGCTACCAATTTTGTATAAAGATCTTCCACAAACAAACTACCCAACATAGATGAGAAATGACTGTTTTTCCTAGTCTGAAAGTAAGCACTAAACCTAAGGTCCTCCAGGAGTTAGAGTTCCATAGAGCACTAACAGCCTGCCAAATCAAAATTCCACATATTCCAAAAGACCATGGGCTGATAAAAACCTGCTAAACAGGGATTAAGGAAATGGCAATAGTGTGCAAGGATTAAAACCCAGTCTGTAGTTTGGGGAAAATGTCTAAAATCCTGAATTTAAAAAAAAACCAAAAACACAACAAAAAACCAAACCAAAAACCACAAATGAAGTGAAAGCTTTGAACTGGTACACACTGTTCACACCTATATTTCAAGTTTGGAAACGCATATTTTCAAGCAGCAATACAAAAAAGTATCCATGAAGAATGCATAATCTCTGAAAAAATTATGAAAACATCCCTGCTACCATTACATTTCTAAATACAAAACTGACTACCATATTGTTGCTTCTGTGTAGCGAGAGAAGTTCATTTTCAAAACAGATAAAATTCAGTCTTTAGGTGTGAATGGTATGAATGACAGTCTCTTTTTTTCTTTTTTTTTTAATTTCTTAGTTGTTTAGGATCCTTAAGCATGCAAGCCTCGGAGAGGAGGGCCCAACGAGGGCAGGGTTGGCTTATGACATCCAGTTTAGGACAGAGCTGGGAAAGCCTCTGGGTCATCTACATCAGGAGCAGAAGCACTTGTTCATTTTTTTATTTCTCCCCCAGTCACAGACTATGATAAAAAAAAGCAAACCTGTCATGCCAACCTAGCTCTGGAAAATCTCACACATTAACCAAGAATCTCCTCAGCACTTCCCTAAGAGAGTTTTTAAAAGGCTCTCCACTAAGTGTAAAAAACAAAATGCAGAAATCAAGTATTTTTGAAGCATCTTCACTTTGTCCATGAGGGGGCATGGAGAGGAAGAAAAGTGCCAGGACAGGGGAACTTCCTGTAACCATATTAATTTACCAAGTGATACTTAAACCATACCAATCAAACTTGTATCAACATCTACAGGCAAGACTGAGACAGAGCAGGAGGGGAGTTCCAGCCCCTGCAAGAGGAGGGGCCTTGCTCAGGGGTAAGAGCCAGCAGAGATCACCAACCTGGTTGGGTGTGTGGATCACGTCAAACTCCTTAACCAACTGGAAGGAAATAAACAAAATCAACATAAAATAAGCTGCAGGGGAGTTCCTAACAACTCTACCACAGCATTTGTGAAGAAGCAAGATGCCTTATTAGTGAAACGACTCAGAACAAACACCACCACCATTTAGTTTCAATTCCTTAAAATTTTCTTCTATATTAATACCAGGAGAGAGTCTTCCAACTAATAACCTGAAAGCTAAAGTGATCCAGTGCAGAAGAGAAGACAACTCAGTGTGCTACAAGCAGTGTCCTACAAGAGACCAAAAGGAACAAGTCTGGCCTGTGTGAAGAGAGTCACACCACACAAACTGAACTTATTTTCTAGCAACAATTTTATGAGATTAATTTCAGCTGAATAAATGAACCACATCAAATCTTGACTGTAGCTATATTACAGTACTTTAACTTGACATGTTCTTTGCCCCACCTCCATTTTGCACATAGTCCTCAAGTCTTTCTTTAGCACTTTTGGACTAGAGGAGGAAAAAAGCTACTGCAGATAAGAAAATAGCAGTAAGTGTCCTACTGCCACAAGCAAACTCTGAATTCCTCAATTTCTAGAAACACCCTGCAGCTGTAAAACCAGTCCTCCACCCCCAACAGGTGAGAATGCAGATACACCATCCTGGAATTAACTGCTCCACCAGAAGCAGAAAAATCTCACAGCACACTCAGATCTGTCCGTGCTGAAGAGACATTTTTGGGGGTCAGATACAAAGATGGAATTTTCTTTTTTTAATACAACCTACTCCCCATCCTTTTTTTGTGTGTGTGTGTTTAATGACAACACTAAAACATTAATCATTCTGCCCTACCAGCAACCTAGCTGAAAGCAAACTTGAAGAATTGGCATTACCTGGGTTGAGAAGGTGGTGTTTATTGCCAGAGCAATTCCTCCCAAAAGAATGAAAACAAATCCATACGACAGCCCACCCCAGCACCCACAGAACTCAACCCCTGGCAGATGGAAGAGGCAGCTACTCACCTTGTCAGTTCTGCCTCCACGGCTGGCCCTGCCCCCGCGCCCCCGGCCACCCCGGCCCCCTCTGCCCCCACGCCCGGGGCGGCCCAGGTCTCCAAAGTTGATCTCCAGCTGGGACGTGATGTCGTTGGCGGGCTTGCGGAAGTGATGATCCATCACCGAGTCCTCAGCATGAGCCTGAAAGCAGGGTTTCCTCGTTAGTGAGAAAAGTCACCAAGAAACCTTCCCAGCTGGCCAGCTACTCCTGCCACCAGAGCCCACGGGATCCCCTCCGAGCGGCTCCCGAAGCGGCGACCGACGGCCCGGCCCAGCTCCCGTCGGGTTAAAAGGCAGCACAGGATTGTTAGGAAGGGAGCTGCACCACTCCTGCACACTACCAAACCACACACAGGTCACCACATTAGTGCAGGAGCCAACAAAGGCATTCTGCATTTCCAAGGGAATTCAGGGAAGCTCTGGAGTTCCTTCAGAGGAACATGTTTAGCCTTATCTGAGACCCAACCATCCACCACCAAGCCAGTGCAGAACCTCCTTTTCTAGCATTTCTCTTCTTCTCATTTGGTATCCTGAGAAATCTTCAGGTCCTATCAATTCACAGCAACATAGAATTAATGTCATTCTTTTTGAAGACCTGGCAACCCCTCTTTATTGTGCTCAATGAGTATTTTATACTCCTCATTGTCTTAGCCCCATGTCAGAATTTAGAAGCAGGGAGATGGTCAGAAGCCCTTACTGGTTTGCATCAGCCACAGCAAACAGCAAACGAGGCACAAACAGTTCAACCACCATGTGACTGACAAGAGCTACAGCAGGAATGCTGAAACACAGAACCAGCCTCAGCAATTACACTGAAAAACAGGACTCAGCACCTTTGCCATGACAGAGCAGTCTCCAACAGCTGGATGACTCCCTGTGCGTTCAGAGGGAGACACCTGAGACTTGAGGAGCAAGGTATGCATGGAAGGGTCATGTCTGATACCATAAATGCTGCTGCTCAGCACACTGGAGTATTTAAAGTTACTGCCCACTGAACACAGAAAGAACCAGGTGCTTTAAAAGCAATTATTTATCTTATTTTGTACAAATAATTTTCCCATCTAAGTCCAATTTTGGTACCTAGGATGATACACAGGGTGTAAAACTGACCACAGAAGATGAGACCAAGGGTTTATCCAGACCAGTACTCTGCCTCTTCCAAGACCCAATCATCATGTTGTGGAACCACGACACAAACAAGCTTTCTGTTCCTGTAAGCCCCTAACTTCAGGCTCAGCACTTGCCAGTTTGCTAGGTATTTCCTACGGAAGTGCCATGTGCAAGCCTAAGCCTCCAACTTACTCTTCTTGTGGAGCAATGACACAACACGCTGACTTTCAAAGGCAACAGATTGTGCAATTAAGCCCTATACCCTTTAATTACCACCTGCAGATGCTGTACAGGGCAGCCAATGGAAGCACAGAGGTTTGCAGTCAAAAGCCTGAAAGCTGCTTTCAGGGATTCCTTGGGTCAGTCACAAGCACCATGATGTACAGAGCCATCCATCTCCCCCACCAATTTATTTCCCTCTCCCCATGCCCACCTGTATGTTTGGCCTCCACAGTGTCCTGCAGTGGAGGGCACTGCCACTTCCTTAGGCACAGTGACAAATGCCCCTCCACGCTGCTTTACTTCAAACATATTCCACTAGATGTTTCCCACTGGTCACCATCCCACTCCTGATTTTCTAGACTGGAATTGTACCCACTTCCCTCAGAGATTTCTTTTCCAAACGTAGGGGATTAACTTAAGCAGTTATATTTCAGAGAAAGGTCCCTCCCCACCTCAGCCTGGCATGTTGCATGTCAAATATAAGGACACCAACAATCTGTAGAACAGCTCACACCATCTTTGCTATGGTCTGGATTCCTTTCTTACCAGTTAGTATTTTATCTACAGTATTGATCAGTGCAGGTTACTGAGATTGTATTTTCAACCTCTTGTCAGTCAGATGACATTGTCATTTAAAGTTACTGCCCACTGAACACAGAAAGAACCAGGTGCTTTAAAAGCAATTATTTATCTTATTTTGTACAAATAATTTTCCCATCTAAGTCCAATTTTGGTACCTAGGATGATACACAGGGTGTAAAACTGACCACAGAAGATGAGACCAAGGGTTTATCCAGACCAGTACTCTGCCTCTTCCAAGACCCAATCATCATGTTGTGGAACCACGACACAAACAAGCTTTCTGTTCCTGTAAGCCCCTAACTTCAGGCTCAGCACTTGCCAGTTTGCTAGGTATTTCCTACGGAAGTGCCATGTGCAAGCCTAAGCCTCCAACTTACTCTTCTTGTGGAGCAATGACACAACACGCTGACTTTCAAAGGCAACAGATTGTGCAATTAAGCCCTATACCCTTTAATTACCACCTGCAGATGCTGTACAGGGCAGCCAATGGAAGCACAGAGGTTTGCAGTCAAAAGCCTGAAAGCTGCTTTCAGGGATTCCTTGGGTCAGTCACAAGCACCATGATGTACAGAGCCATCCATCTCCCCCACCAATTTATTTCCCTCTCCCCATGCCCACCTGTATGTTTGGCCTCCACAGTGTCCTGCAGTGGAGGGCACTGCCACTTCCTTAGGCACAGTGACAAATGCCCCTCCACGCTGCTTTACTTCAAACATATTCCACTAGATGTTTCCCACTGGTCACCATCCCACTCCTGATTTTCTAGACTGGAATTGTACCCACTTCCCTCAGAGATTTCTTTTCCAAACGTAGAGGATTAACTTAAGCAGTTATATTTCAGAGAAAGGTCCCTCCCCACCTCAGCCTGGCATGTTGCATGTCAAATATAAGGACACCAACAATCTGTAGAACAGCTCACACCATCTTTGCTATGGTCTGGATTCCTTTCTTACCAGTTAGTATTTTATCTACAGTATTGATCAGTGCAGGTTACTGAGATTGTATTTTCAACCTCTTGTCAGTCAGATGACATTGTCTTCTCAGAGAGGTAGCACCAATGCATTTGTACAATAATTCTGTGCATTT